AAACTTTGGGGTCCTTTCCCCCCCCCCCCCCCACTCCCTCCCCCTTCCACTCCCTTCAACCCCCACCAACCCATGTATGAGGATCACTCTGCCATGCTCGCGCTGACCTGTTCCCCCCTAGTGTATTTCTAGTATTCCGGTAGACAAAAATGGCGTATCCCTCCGGTATGGGAGGACCCAGCGGCCTCCGCTCTCCGTCTTCTCTTCACCAGGCCATGGGCCCCACAAACGACGGGCGCGCGCAGCTTCACCGTCGCTTTACCACGAATAATATCCCGACGTTGAGTACGCCTTTGTCGCCAATTGGGCAACAGCGCAGACAGGCGGCCGAGCCAGCCGAATCCACAACCGCGGTATGTCGACATCCTTTCTGTGGTACAAAAGGGCACCGGGCATGGCGCGTCGAGAGCGACAGACCTGAGAATAGGAGCCCCATGTTCTTGCATCAGTTCCTGAGACGCCTGTGCATATTGTGTGCTGTTGCTGCTATTCTTCTTTTGCGCCCGTCTTTCAACTGCTATTCGCTGGCAATGTGTGCGTGCGTGTTTGTGGTTGTAATAGAGGGCAAAGACTAACAGGACGTCAGACATACCATAAGTTGCAAGTGGTAAGTCAACTTCACCTCGTCTTTTCATCCTCTGCCGCCCGCCCCCTCTTCCCTATTCGGCTCAGGTAAGATTGCGCAGGCCAGTTGGCCAGACAGCAGCCTGGAGTAGATAAACACTCCCCCCGCCTCCTGTCACCTCTACCCATCTCTCTTCCATCCCTCTGCAGTTCTGTATTGCTATACCGCTCTGTTCAATCTCTCTGTATCTCCGGCACGGTGGAGCCCTTTTCTCTCAGTCGTCAGCTCTTTTCATCTCTGCTACCCGCTTCTCGTCACGCTCTGTTGCTTGTCAACAGACTACGCTTGCAAGTCTACGTGACCCGCTGACAAGCCGTTAGCTTGAGAAGAAGAAACTCGAGTACGAATATCTCAAAGAACAGAGACGTCGTTTCGAGGCCGAAATGGAGCTCATTGATTTACAGTCCCGCCGTGGCGAAGAAGAGATCAATCGTCTCTCTACCGAAGTACGATACGGCAAGCCTGCCCAAAGCCAGCCGACTACGCCTCCAGAGTACAACGAGGGCAACGGGTTCCCCACAGCTTTCTCTCGTCCAAACCGCTTCAGCATGTCTAGCATCAATTCGGGCATGATCACCGGCCGTGGTAGTCGTGCCAACAGCCAGGTCACTTCGCCGCCCGCCAACTTCCAGGGCAATGCCGGCCTGCCCTCTCAGTCGATGCCAGGTACCAGGCGCAATTCTGATGAGGATCACGATGACTTTGACAACGATGACTTTACTCCTCTGAGTCCAGTTAGCCGCAAGTAAGTGAAGGCGCAGCCATGCAACAGGCAAAAATTGTCAACTGACTGGAACAGGAACAACCGCATGTCTATGCCTGTCACCAGTCTCGACTATCGCAGTCGTACCGACCTCCCAGATCTGGCATCGGTTCTTGGTCACATCGACACTGCTGGCTACTTGTTCGGCGAAGAGGAGAAAGAGCGCAACCCTGCAGCATCGCCTCCTGATCAGAAGGCCTACTTCCAAATGAGCAACACCAAGGATGAATTCCCCATATTGGTTCGTCGTGATGGCGCCGGTAAGGGTATGCAACTTTCCGTTTCCTCTGATGCACTTGTTCTGGCTGCGCCACAAATCCCCTACGCCATTCACACATCTTTTCATCGAGTTTCAAAGTCGCTCCCTACTGACTCGTTGTGCGAAGCAGCCCATGACCAGTACGAGTCTAGTGCGGCCAATGGCAACATGGAGACCACTACTCCGACTAAGAATGTATCCAACAACCGCCGTTCTGTCGACTTCACATTCAGTCCCAGGACCACGGAAACCAAGGGCGCACGCTTCACTAGTCTTACCACCCTTAGGAATGGGGTCACGAAGCCGACTCAGTCCTACTCCGCCAGTGAAGTCCCGACCCTCAAGAATGGCGCCAATGGTGGAAATGGTGGAAACGCAGTCAACGGTACGAACGGCATGGGCTACAAGTCTCATGCTGAGCAGCACCTGCACAACCACAACGCCAGCCTGGGACGCATCCCGCCGAATGCAACCAATAACCGTCACAGTCGTGAGCTCTCATCGGGCTTCAAGGACCAAGAATATCGCGCAGCACAGCACTCGGGACTGCACGCGAGCGCAGCCCCGTTCGGCCCTGCTATAACTTCTGCTGCGTCCATGAACGGCCTTGCTGCTGCTACTGTTGGATCTCCTGCCATGTCGCAGTATTCCGCCGCTTCAGGTGGCTCGAACAGCCAATACTACGGATATGGAATGTCAATGATGAACGGCATGAATGGCGGCATGAACGGTCTCAACAGTGCAATGAACGCAATGTCGCTTGGACATGGTCATCCTCTGGCTGGACCTTCTGCGTACGGACCAGGACCAGGACCTAATGGAGTGTACGGCCAGATGCCATACTACAACCCATATGCTACCTATGGCCCTAGTGGTCGTATGCAGGACAGCCAGGCTCGCGTCATCCAGAGCCGTCGTCTTCAAAATGATGCTAGTCGTTTCATGAACTACGACCTCAAGACTATGCCCCGCCATGAAATCTATACTTTGTGCAAGGATCAACACGGCTGTCGTTTCCTGCAGAAGAAGCTTGAGGACCGCAACCACGAGCACATCCAGATCATCTTTGAGGAGACCAACCCTCATGTTGTCGAGCTGATGACCGATCCCTTCGGCAACTACCTCTGCCAGAAGTTGTTGGAGTTTTGTAATGACGAGCAGCGCAACACTCTGGTTCGCAATGCGTCCCCTGCTATGGTCTCGATTGCTCTCAACCAACACGGCACTCGCGCGTTGCAAAAGATGATTGAGTACATCTCTACAGAAGATCAGGTTCGTCAACTTGGCCTTGCTTCTTGATGACATTTATCCACTAACGTTGCATAGACTCAGATGATTATCCAGGCTCTGTCTGGCCAAGTTGTCGACCTTATCCAGGATCTGAATGGCAACCATGTCATCCAAAAGTGTTTGAACCATCTCAAGCCATCTGAGGCCCAGTTCATCTTTGATGCTGTCGGGGAACACTGTGTCACCGTCGGTACTCATCGCCATGGTTGCTGCGTCCTCCAGCGCTGCATTGACCATGCTGCCGGTTACCAGAAGATCGATCTAGTCCACAGGATCACTCAGAACGCCTTCAGTCTGGTACAGGACCCATTTGGCAACTACGTTGTCCAGTACATCCTCGATCTGAATGACGAGAACTTCACGACTCCGATGTGCAAGAGCTTCGAGGGCAGGGTTCCTGAGCTGTCGAAACAGAAGTTCAGCTCCAACGTCATTGAAAAGTGCATCCGCTGCGCCAACATGGACGCCAAGGCCATGATGATTCAAGAGCTTCTGGACATGGTAGAGCTTGAGATGCTCATGCGCGATCAGTACGGCAACTATGTCATTCAGACCGCTCTCGAGTTTGCTCCGGGAGAGTTGGCCCTGCACCTTATTGAATCCATGCGTCCCATCTTGCCTACTATACGCGCGACCCCATATGGCCGCCGTATCATGGCCAAGGTCCAGGAGCGTGAGGGTCGTCTTGCTGCGTACACCGGTCGCACCATCTCTGGTCAGACCTCGCCCCAGGCAGAGCCATCCGGCTACCAGGGCTCCAACAGCTCTTCCGGCTATCAGACTCCCATGTACACCGCAACCGCCAACTACGGCACCAACATCGTTTCTCCGCAGCCGCATCGTCAGGCCCACCGCCTTAGCAACCCGGCCCTTCCTCACCACCTGCAGAACCATGTACAGCACCCAGCATACCAGTACGGAGCTGCCAACGAGAACGGCAATGGAAACGGCATGGGCAACTTCTTCTAAGGTGTTTTGATCATCTGCAATGACGTTACGATTTCGACGAGTGACGGCATCGCTTCAGACTTTCGGTCTTCTCACGTGTGGGAGCCATTGCTCCTCCATTCTTCCTTCTTCCATTCTTGGGCAGGTCGTTTTGTATAGTACATTACGAGCATTATCGGAGCTTCGGCAATATTTGGGCATCTCGAGGCGCTATGATTTGCAAAGGTAATGCACTGCCGTGTTGCCATCTTTCGTTTCTCACACTCTGTTTTGTACTTTACCCTTTTTTTCCTTATTGCCCTCCTTCAGACGGCACAGATGTAGTGCATTCAAAAAGGTGGCCCTGCATGGGCTCATGGCGCTGCGCTGAAGACGCGGACTGCATGTCATGTCATTGCCTGGCGCTTATTTACGATCGATGATGATGATTCAAGGATAAGGCTACATGGCGATTCCTTGAGATGAGACACAATCGAAGTCTTTTTTTCGGTGACTTTTGTTCTTGACCCTTGTCCTGGTGATTAACCAAGTGATTAGAGCCACCACAACTTTAGCCAAGTGATCCCTGACTTTGGTACAAGCATGAGTCTCCATCTCGGTGTACGATGGCTAGTGACTCTAATAGCGGTAGGATAGGTATCAAGGCGGGTTTTGGAACAGCTTTTGGGCTGTACCGTGTTCGGGCCTGTGTACATAAACTCCAACCCTAAAAAACATGAAACAGGAGCAAAAAGAGGCCACATGTACTCTACGATACTGCCAGGGAAACAAAGGACTTTGGATTCTAGAACGTCTCCATTATTCCACCGAGGCTCTCGCGTGCAAGAAAGAATGGTTCACTAAGATGCGACCATACTAGATTTAAGAGATGGTGAGCTTTGTGCAGTCACACACCCAATCACAACGCTCAGACACTGCCAAGCGCCGACTGAAACGGGGGGTCAGTTGCCCCCAATGACGTGCCTTCCGCTTCCAGCCTATCGTACGTACAGTAGGCTTCCTCTATCCTCTTGGACAGTTAACTTCAGCGCTCGCCCTCTTCCTCCCTTTGTCACACACCCGCAGATAGAAGGCTCCGACTGTTGTTACAACGTATTTGCTACTTACTTTACTAGGAAACCTGCTATCGTACACGCTTGGGCAATCTACCTTGTTCACCCGTACGCTGTCACTGTTGTACTCCGCAGACAACCGCAGTCACACCATAGTCGACCTTTATCATGCGCCACGCACTCTTTTCCCTAGTCATCGCCCTTCTCGCTGCCTTCGCCATGGCTGTTGCACCTTTACGCTCTGTGATTCTCACCTGGCCACACGACACGCCAGACTGCATTCTCGATGATGTCAAGCAAGCGATCATAGAGGCTCAGGGCACGGTATGTCCCCACCACTTAGACAACATGACGTCCGGCTGTTAGGAGTGGAGATGCTCATGCGAAGACAGATTACACACGAGTACACGATCATCAAGGGCATCGCTGCCATGGTGTCGGAGTCTGCGCTCGAATCTGTCTCGGCGCTAAGTAGCCAATACACGTACACTCTTGAGGAAGATAGCATTATGAGCACGCAGGAGGACCAGAAGTAGGCATGTCATGGAAGTATGGAAAGTGGAGAGATGATGTGTATCCTCTGCGTTGGCAACTGCTGTGAGGGGGTCCACGAATAAAAGACGATCTTTGAGACTGGATGGCGTTAGGTCGGACCTGGACTGGAGTTTGTTATGCGCTGATTGATTGAACGATGCAGATTGTAGTATGATGTCGAATTCGGGATTGATGTGTTCCATTTTTTGTTAGCAAAGACGTGTGCCTATCTCATGATGGATATGTGATGGCGCAAACGTGACGAATCTCTTGATGAATGGTGTGTGAATTGAGGGTAGAATGGCTACTATGTACAACCGCGGCGAGACTACATGTGAAGATAGTTACTAAGCCTGAGGCATGTTCTTTTGACTGTAAAGTGTAGAGAGAGGAACACCATGGGACGGCTCTTGCCTGGGGTGAAATGAAGTGCCCAGCCCTGGACTCTACTCTAGCGGGCGGCTGCTTCCCCGCGGTGGCTGGGATGGTCATCGGTGGACGTGCAGTGGGGTTAGGTATCGTCGCAGCAGCCAGCTCTGGGGCATAACGGCGGCCCAAGGCTCCAGGACTCGATGCGCGTCAGTACTGTCTGCCAGAAAAGAGAATAGAGAAGAAGAAGAAGAAGAAGAAGAAAAGTGGCTGCTCTTCCACTGCATACTGTGCTTTTCTCGGTCTTTCCCGACTTCCTAGAAGGCTGCTGTTGCCTCCCCCCAAAATCCACACACTGTGTCGGGAGCGCGCTTCAACTGCCGCTTAGCGTTCTGACCGCCAGCATCACCCCCGACGCGTCGACACGTCCAACAGAGAGTCAATGCGTAGTGGAGCGCTTCCTATGTCACACCTCCAGACCGCCCTCTCATGATGCTTGGGTGTCTTTACAAAGTTCCTTCACCTACAAGCAACTTTGAACCTGTCTGCGGGTAGGCAGTAGACGAACGACCCCGCCAATCTGCACCATGGATGACTTTAAGCCTGAGCTGATGAAGGCTCTTCTCGACTGGGTGCGTATGAGAACTGAAGAATGTTCCCCAGGGCTACTGCTGATACGCCGTGTCCTAGGTCAACACATTCGAGCTCGCTGGTAGGGTGACCTCATGGAGCCAACTCGAAGACGGCCAGGTGCTGTGGCAGATTCTCTCCGACATAGACGCCGAGTACTTCAACGAATCCCTTCCAAACTTCGAAGAAAACCACCGCCGCCAATCCGTCGACTGGATACCGCGATGGCAAAATCTCAAACACATTGAGCGAACCGTGTCGACGTACATACGGGAAGAGTGCGAGCAGTTGCCCGTCCTGACGAAGCGCATGATACCGGATCTGAAAACAGGAGCAAGAGATGGCTCGACGATGCTTGTGGCCAAGTTGACCATGGCCGTCCTGCTTGCCTCCTGTTTCTCGCCCAAGAGCAACCAGCGGATGCTACAAGTCATGTCCCAGCTGGGCACCAAGACGGCAGAGACGATTGCAGAAGCTATACAGGATATGCAGTCTCTGGACCAGAGGATGTCAGAGCTCGGCGTAGATGCTGAGCTGACGCCAGAAGTACACCTCACGGGGTATAGAACGCCTACGCGGGCGCTATCGGGCACACAATCGACCATGGGAGGCCCTTCGGAACTAGAACAGGAGGCACAATTGTTCGAGGCGAACAAGGACAGACAGGCGATGAAGATTCAAATAACTAAACTAAAGGACGAACTCAAAACTTCTCGAGAACGCATATCGAAGCTGGAGGAAGAGGTGGCCGAAGCATCTGCCTATCTAGACGTCCGGGCAGGCAATGCACAGCGAGCCGAGTCGGACGATGTTGAACAGCTGCGGAACGACTTAGCACGCGACCGTCAGTACATCGACCAGCTCGAGACTGACCTTGCGAATGCGCGAGACATAATGGACAGTCAAAAGCGGAGGCTCGAGCGACTGCAGAATGAGGAGGGATCCAAGCAAGATCTGAGAGATCAACTACAGATGGTCAAAGCCGAGCGTGACGAGCTCAGTCAAAGAGCCAAAGCGAATGAAAATCTCAAGAAGAAGATAGAGTCCTTGACCAAGGAGACCAAACAACTCGAGACGCTCAGGGAAGAATACCAACAAGCGCGTGAGCGACTCGCGGAGTTGGAAAACGTACAAGAAAGATGTGAAGCTCTCGAGAAAGTCTACAAGGAGAACAGCCAGACACTTGTCAACTGTGAGCAAGCAATCTTTGAGGAGAAGGGGAAACGAACAAGAGTCGAACATGAGAATCTATTGCTTATGAAGCAATGCGAACAAACTCGCGAGTTACAATACAAGGCTGAAGATGCCAGGCAAGAGCTAGAAGATCGGATACGAGAGCTTGAGGCAGCGAGCCATGCCAACGCCGGAGGGAACCTGGAAGATGAATTGTCACAAGACGAAAACTCGAAAGGTTCTGATGATGTCAACAGCGCAAGGCCTGCAGATGCAAGGACTAGTGCAGATGTTCTCGCATTACAACAAAAGGTTGATATTCTACAAGCCCGACTAAAGTCGCTGGAAGCAGAGACGCTCAAGCAGATGCAAGAAAACTTGGGGCTGAGATCTGATATGATGGCGGAGAAGGATGAGGAGAATCAGAAGCCATTCCTGGAGCAAAATGAGAAGCTTCAGACCGCAGAGACCGAACTCGAGGAACTTCATCGCAAACTGAGAGAAAAGGACCTAGAGGTCGCGGAGCTGCGCAACGAACTGAACAAAAAATCCGATGTTAGCGAAGACGAGAGGGCAGAGGGTCTTCAGGCTGAATATCAACGGATGCTGGCCATTCAGCAAAAGACGAATCAAAGGTTGAGAGATTTGGAGATTATCAACGATGAGAAGTCTGGTCTTCTACGGGCTGCTCTCCTTCATCGCGAAAATCTTTCGCCAGAACTTCTCGAACTTAAAAGGGTGGAAACATTGCGGCATATTCGCGAACGGATTGATTCAGTCTTACAGACGCCAGCAGAAGCTCAAGCCAAAGTGCTCGATAGCACGAGTACTGAAATTGCCGAGACTGTGTTATCAGCAGAAGCGGCGTTGGAGAAGGCAAAGAACGTAAGTATAGTCCAACTCTCCTACGAAGCGGCATCGTCTTCGGCATTCGATGCTGCGATTACTGCAATGAGACGGCGTCAACTCGACCACTCGTTCTCTACGTCCACCTTGATTACACAGACGACACCAAGGCACGACCAGGCGGGAAAGAATAAGTCAATCTCGGAGAAGTCCACTTCGACAGCCGGGAGGGGACACACGACCTGGAGAAGGATGGCACAGCTTGTGTCGCCTAAGCGCAGGATAAAGTCTACACTGTGTAGTGCAGACTACCATACCGCGCTGACTTCAGTTGAGTGTGCGGCACGTTCGTCCCTGACCTGGCTGCCCGAAGTATACTTATCCTTGCGACTATCCTTGCTCCTCTCCTTGCGTTGTGCTGTCGATTGGTCGACAAGCTAGGTGCACGAGGCTAACAATTACAGGATCTTCAAGAACAAGTCGCATCGAATAGTACGCTGCGCGAGCAGCTTGAGCAAGCGAGGGAAGAGACTTCAGAGAAGGGCTTGGTAAGTCTATCTTTGTCCTTTTGATTGTCTACTTGGGTACACTAACACATGGTAGATTGAATTGCAACAAGAAGTCGAGAATCTACGTCGCGAGAATCAACTCATCACATCAGCCTGGTATGACATGACCTGCCGACTCCAAAGCAACACCGTCATCCTACAAAGGCGCAGCGAAGCCCCCAAAGGCTGGCTTGGGAAGCAAAGAGCCGCTGTAGGCGGCGCAGGTATCTTGGTACGTTTTATTATTTCTACATTTTGCTCCCCACACTCTTATCCGTAGCTTTTTCTTTTGTAAAAAAAAAAGAAAACGTCTCCTAACAAGCACATGCAGGGTCGAAGGTAGCACCCACTCGATCCTACCAGGCACTTGTTTCCCTTTTCTCTATTGTTCATCCTCCCCCTTGTTGTTCGCCTCGGCGTAGCGTAGATGTCTGCCCATCAGTCTAGGCCGGTCTTGTCTTTTGTCCTTGTCTTGTCATGATTAGTCACGCACAGCAGCGAGAAAGCAAGCTTTTTGCACGTGTTTTATGACTTTTGGGTTTTGTATCGGCATCGCATCGCGTCATATCATATCATACCATGTTATACACATGCCATTCACCACGGAACACATTCATACATGAAGAGATACATATGTATACATGTGTATATTTTCCCATATCTTGCTTTTCTTCCCCACCTCCCCCATCACTCTCCCACACCCTCTCGGGCTTTGCGTTTCCAAGCGTCTTTGTAGTTATACCCCCGCTGGCGTTTGTGGCGTTTGTGGTGTTTGTATTTGCGTTTTTTGCCTTTCATTCCTGCGTTGCTGTTTTTTTTTTTGGCGACTTCTTGCGCTTTTCAACGGCTACAGGGAGGCAAGGGCAAGGGGTGTAGCGTTATGGGGTTTTGCGGTGGGAATTTAGTTGTGCATGTGTGGGTATTGTTAGAATGAAAAGGAAAGGGGAGGGGGCATGGGAATGGGAATGGGAAAGTGTAATACAAAGATGGATATGAAGACAAATATGAAGAGCTTGGTGTATCTCAATGGCTTGAGACTGTGATTAACCCCCACCCCCCCCCCCTCTCACTCGTCTGTGCATACAAGTGCGAAAATGGCAAGATGCTCTACTTCCAACTACCAAATGCACGAGGAGGGTAAAGAGAGTTTCCACTGTATCGCACGAGTCATGGTGAAGAGATGCTATAAACAGGACATGAACATATCTATTTCTCCACTAGCTAGACCGATTCCAGCCTCTTCATGTTTGAATGAGGAACTAAACTAAACTAAAAAAAGATTCCCACCGGAAAAAGAAACTAAAGTGGTTAATGCAACCGAGTCCAAATGCAAAAAGCTCGAGAGACTGTGAATGCTCATCGGTTGGCAAATACAAAGCCCAGACGGTGAAGGAGAGACCGCATGGAAGATGAGTTTGACCATGCATGCAGTGCAGCAAACACAGGCCAGATAGGGAAATAAGACTGCCAGAGAAGCAACAAAGTCGGCAAGATGATGTTTGAGGCGTGAGGGAAAACCGGTGTGGATTAGCGTCTACCACCGCCAGCGCCGCGGTTGCGAATCTGCTTTAGGATATCGACGTTGCTAGAACGGTTGCGAGTGTTTTCGTTGAAGACGACGTTGCTCTTGGGCGCAATGGTGTAGTTTGTCGGGCCCGTCTCCATGCGAGCACGGACAAAGTTGCGGGGGGCCTCGAGAGCCTTTTTCCGCGCAGCCGCGGCCTGGCTGGCCTGGCTGTTTGCAAGGCGGTCGGCGGTTCTGTTCATACTGGGAGGGAGTGTTAGTGGATGCCGTGTAGAATAGGGAATGACAACGTACCTTGGATCGTAGTCAGCCTGGGCAAACTCCTTTTTGCGGTAATCGTCGGTTCGGCGAAGAATGGGACGGGTCCAGTCTGTGAAGAGACGCTCGGCTTGGCGCTTGATGGAGAGTTCGGGACGCTTGCTCTTGATGTAGAACATGATGACTTTGCCGATGCCAGAGGCAACAAGCGTGTCCTTGTTGACAGGGAGCTTTGCGAGCGAGGCAAACAGTTCTTTCTGGATGTCGTAGGCGGGAAGACTACCGTCGCTGAGAGGCTCTAGGAAGAAGCGCACTGACTCGAGGAGATTGACTTCGGGGTCGACTATGGTTTCCCGCAAACTATTCTTGTTGAGTAGGGCCGTGACTTCTGGTAGGAGTTTGAGCTTGTGTCGGGCGGGCTCATCGCGCTTGCGACCTTCGTTGTCGGCTTCAGCTGCTGCTGCCATGCGACGGCGCATCTCCTCAATTTCTTGATCCGCCATTTGTTCCAGGTCGATGCCATCCTTCTTTCGTCGGCGGGAAGAGTTGCCCTTGACTATGGAGTCGATTTGCGCATTCAGTGCGCGTTTCCGGCCTGTGGATCTGTATTAGCATGGACAGCAAATGTGCAAGCGGCTGAGAACGTACGCTCTTCTGGAGTGAGATTTGCATCTGCCTCTGCATCGTCGTCTGGGCTGGCCCCACGGACCCTGCCTGCCTTCTTGGTCCGCTTGCTACGCCTCTCGCCGTCCTCTGCCGCATCTTCACCATCCTTGTTCTTCTTGCGGCGTGGCTTATCTGCGCGCTTCTTCTTTTTCCTTGGTTCCTCACCATCTGCCCCCGTTCGCTTGCGCTTGTGCACACCAATTTGCTTGACGTTGTCCTCATCGATAGCCTGCGCTGGACGCTCTTCAATGGCGATGTTGCTTGCGTCGAATTCGCCAAACTGCTCATCAAGCTGGTCATCATCTAATGCTTCAGATAAGACTGATTCATTGTCTGAAAGGCCAGCCTGGATGTCGTCGTCGTCGGGCATCCCTGGCTGCTTCTCTGTCGCTTCCATGTCTTGGTAGGGCTCCGCGATGGTGGGATTTGGGACCGAGTTTTCCTCGTCTATTTCAGGGCGTAAAGGATCCTGGGGGTCGTTGCCAGCCTCAGGAAGCGGCGACCGCGAATGCGACCGAGTGAATTTCACGTCTTCCATGATCACTCAGTCAGTGATGTTCCGGCGATGTGTGGAGCGTGGACTTGTTGGTCTTAAAGCGGGTGTGGGGAGGTTTTGAATAGAGAGAAGAGATGATTTCTAGAGAAGAGAAAAGGGGGTTTGGTGGTTTGCAGGCACAGGGAAATATTCGAGGACAGTCGTTGGTCGCGGGTCGTCACTTTCTTTGAGGAGAGGCGCGACGTACCATGGGACAACAATTGGCCGGGCCTTGGCACTTCAAATGGGTCCGTGCGCCCAGCTGAGAGTCGACCCAGCTCTACCTAACGTCGCGCGTTTCCTTCCACGACCAACCTCGACTCTCTCCTTCATTTCTCTCACCCTCTCTCCATCCCACACTCAACACACTTTCTGCACCAGAGCCGCTCAGCTGATGGATTGATTTTCACAGTCATCGACACCATCGACACCATCACCACTTTGCCCGTCCCCATCCCCATCCCCCTCCCCCTCCCCTCGTCCAACCTGCACGTCGCGGCCTCGGCTTGCTTGACACAACGCTTACGTTAGGTATATCCTCTTCGCAGTACTGTCGCGTTTGCGCGCTGTTGCTGCTTTAGCTGGCTTGAAGGAAGGAGGTTTCACAGTGGGAGGAACACAGCGGCTGGAGGAGAGCGAGTTTTGTCACTGTCCTAGCTGTACCGACGCAGTCTTCTCGCTGCGTCATCTGGCGCGGTCATAGCTAGTATCAACAGAAACACTGTCTTTACGTGTGTTCGAGAGCGAGGAACAAAACATCGTCAATCTTGATCATCTGGCGTTCGAAACTGGCCACATCTGGATTGCGATCTCAACCAACACAAATGCGAACAGCTGCATCATACTGTTGACGCATAAGCTCCTTCTCTAACTTCACAAGCACATCACCCTCTACCCTAACCCTCCAAGATCACTTCTGCCCAACATGTCTTTGCCAGCTGCTGAAGTGGCGGCTGACTTCCGAGATGCTCTACAAGATCTGAGGATGAACAGTAGGCCGGAAATTAGCAATCTAACCCTCATCGCCAAAGAAAACACAGAGTATGCGGAAGCTATATCCACCGAGCTGGAGAACCATATTCGGTCGGTGAGTCTACTGACGCCTCCATCCAATGGCTCAAGCGAGTTTAATTTCTCGTGTGCAATTCTGGTCTTCATACAACTAACATGTCGCAGACTCGACCCGAGTGGAAACTTCCTGCCCTCTATGTACTTGACTCCATCGTTAAAAATGTTGGTACTCCATACACCGTCTATATTGGACGCAACCTCTACCGCACCTTCATGGATGCCTACCTTGTCATGGACCAAGGCACACGAAAAGCTATGGAAGGTTTGTTGCGCACATGGAAACAGCCCGTACCTGAATCGATGGACCCTCGCCCTGTATTTCCCATCGATGTGACTCGAGACATCGAGAACGCGTTGACCAAGATTCGTGCTGCCGTGCAACAACAGGTTCAGCGACCGCAGCATGCGCTTCCGCCGCGTCCACCAACAAATGCAGCCTGGAGAGACACGGCAACCCCACCGCAGAATGGGTCGCACTTCGCAGCTCCTAACGATCCACGGGTTCGACCGGTAAATATGCATTCTCGAAGTGGTCAGGTTCAGAAGCTAACCCCGCCTCCACAGTCGTACCCTCCTACATCCCAGTATGGACCTCAACACACATCAACGCCACCAGTACCATATCAACAGCCACAGCAGCACGCGCAGCCAATATCTTCTGTAGATCTAGCTGAATTGAAGACTGAGATTGCTCAGCTGATCAACAACACCCAAACCGCGTTCGCGCAAAATGCTACAGATGTTGCCCTACGGACCAAGTTACAGGCACTCCTGTCGCTGAAGCAGATCCTGGACACACAGACTCTACCTCCCCAGCAACTCGAGGCTGTACGCCAGCAAGTGCGAGCGTTAGCACCACCCCCAGCGCCGACACCAACATTCCCGCCTGCAGCGCCTACATATTCATCACAGCATGCGATGCCACCAAATCTCTCCACTAACTTCTCTCCGGCAGGTGCCGCACCTAATGGTCTTCCCCCGAATGTTGCACAACTGCTCGCTGGCTTTAGATCCCCAATGCAACAACAGACGCCTCAACCGGCGCCGACACCTACTCCTCCGGTCCTAAACCTGGCAGACCTTTTGAAGCGCATGTCATCTCCCGCACAGCCCGCTTCAGTACCTGCACCTGCACCGTTCCAACTGCCACTCCAAGGATTTCCACCACCCGTATCCACACCCGTACCTGCCCCTCAACCGGCTCCTCCCGCACCATCGGGAACGCCAACAGCCAACCTCGCAGCGCTTCTCGCGCAGTTCAATAAACCTGCTGCAGCGCCACCATTGCTACAGCCGACACCGGTGCAGAGTACATTTGTGCCACAATTCCAGCCACCTCCTGCCACTGCACCTCCAGCCTTAGGTAGTGCGGATTGGCTCTTGAAAGCACTCAGTAGTGTACCTGGTGCCACTCCTACCAACACGACTCCCGTCACTGCCCAGCCGATGGCACGCCAAACGTCAGGCCCTGCAGGCCTAATGGATCATATCGAGCTAACCACAGCCTCTATGAAGAAGCCTCGCATGCACCTAATCTCGCGGCTCTATGAAGCCAAGCCTAACATGTGCGCCACTTGTGGTCGCCGCTTTGAGAACACCCCGGATGGCAAAGAAAAGAAAGCACGACACATGGACTGGCATTTCAAAATGAAAGATCCTGATGCCGCCAAGCGCGGGCTTCACCGACAATGGTATATATCTGAACGCGAATGGATCGAATATCGTGAAGTCGACGAGTCGTCACCCCCTAATGCGAATGACCCATCCTCCACATCCAGCGCCTCCAAATTGAAGAAGCAACCGAAAGACCGCTATGTGAGCGTACCTCAGGATGTAGCGATGCAGCAATCTCCGTGCCCAATTTGTCAGGAGAAATTCGACACAGTGTGGAGTGTTGAGGCGAACGACTTTGTATGGATGGATGCGCTAAGTGTGGGCGGGAAGGTGTACCATGCTACATGCTTTGAGGAGTACAGTAAAGGTCTCGGGATCGAGATGCCGGGCACGCCGGACTCAGTGCTCGGGAAAAGGAAGGCAGATGGTATAGGGAGCGGTGAAGGCAAGAAGGTTAGAGCATATTAAGACGTCTCCAGGATCTAAAAGAGAGGATATGAGAGAGAATTAGCACGGGATACCATCATATTAGCATTGTTGGGCGGTTTCATATTATGCATAGCGTTGCATTGGGTGGATTCTATATCTTATCCTGGATTTTCCCAACTCAGAAGCATGAGCGTGGCTAGGGTTACATTGCTGAAATTGTTCTTATGGATACTGAGCTTGGTCTCTATATGGCGTCAATATTATCCTTTTCATACACGCACTGGTCATAACCATGGATTTTATTGCAATGCAGACATAAAACACTATTAATTCATTTAGACGCAAGCCCAGAACTAATATGCATGTCCAGTTGATATACTCGGCAGTTAGTCTGCTCCTCTACCTATGCGAGCAACTCTATTGTGATCAACCGATGGAACTACTGCTTTCTCTAATACATGGTCCTTCACTGTTGTATGGACTTCGAGCATAGCCAGGAAAGACGTTAACTTGTCATCACAACTAATCAATGTACTTGACTTAGACTCACATATCTACCCACGCCGATCAAAGAATATCATGAAAGAATCTAGCATGAAACATCCCATGATATTGACTAGTCAAGCAGATAGTTGACTTCGCTAAGAAGACCCAAAGGACTTCTCTATTGACGTAATGGTAAATCACTACGGCCAGCACGCAGAAGAGCAAGAAGAACGATTCCTTCTTGTACTACTTCACTTTCCCTCAATCATCAGTATCGTCACCTTCAACTTTTATCCGGCCTCCTTTTCCAACGACACAATCGGCGCAGGCGGCGTAGTAAACTATAAGAGCATCATAAGCATCATCGGCGCCGAATACGATGAAGCGAACGGAGAAATGGTACCGCCGCGAAACTCACTTGCGGCACTGTCCAAGGTCTCACCAGGGCTTCACAATGGTGTATCCCCGCAATATCGTCGTCCCTAGTATCGCTCAAATCGCACACCAAGCCTGAGCATCCATATCGTTCTCTGCAACATCTACCAGGGCGTCAATTCAATCACCCCTCTGCTCCTTGGTGGAGCCCTCGAGAAGACCTCCAAGGCTCCTGTCTAGGCGCTCAGCGTCCTCAATCCTATTCTCAGTCGCTCTGCACTCAGTTGTCCGGACAATATCATATCACCCAACTTTTTGTACCCACGGTCCCCATGTGAGGGTGGGTCTCAGACGCCGCTTAAGGTGCCGTCAGATAAGCATACGAGTGATGACACGTATGACAAGGGTTACTTTCGGAAGAATCCCATGTTGCCGGATTACATTGCGGCAACGAACTAGGCTTTTTTTCTCCTAGGTTTCGAGGACAACATACATTGTCTAAAACATTGAGCCGTGCGCCAGCACGTATGCGTCCTGTTTGAGGTTTTAATGTAACGATCGTCACAGCCCGGGGGGGCTTTTTTTTGGTTGGACTATCATATGCTCTCTTCTATTCTCTGTCACCTGGATTCTTGTTGTCGCATTTTGAGACTTTCTATGGCCGTGGAAGTACATATAGTTCTTGAATGAGTGATGACAACAGTGCCTGAGGACAGCGACGGGACAGGACGATGAAGTTAGCGATACGACAGCATACAAGCCAGTAAGAATAAATACAACATTTTAGCCCTTTCATACTCACATTTGCTTTGCTATTCCCTTTTGACACGGTGTCTAGGCGCTTCAAGTTCCCGTTGATATGAGCTTCCTATTGGCTATTCAAGTTCAATACACCATGTCTACCTCAACAGATATGATAACTGTGCCGACCGTTTGTAATAGCATGCTGTACACTGTCTACTGAGTAGATGACTAAAAATACATCCTCAAAGTAGAGCTCTTCATATATCTGCTACGCAGAACGACAATGTCACTGGTCTTTACCCGCTTATGGTACCAGGGCCCTTTCCCAGCATACCACCTTCCTCACTCTGCACGAAGTTGATGTTCCGATATAACTTGAATTCGATTGCATAACAGAGATTCGCTCCTTGCCCCCAATCTCCATCTTCACATTCCACCCACCTGACATATGAAGTCCATTACCATCTTTCCCTTACTCCTTCAATTATTTTTCTTTCAAAGCCCAGCGCTACCAATCCTGAACACATTAATAGTATCAGTGTATGTACTATTATTATCCTCGTTGCTCGCCAGATCCACCCCATCCCTTGTAACCATCTGCGTCGTCCCCAACGTATTCAAATTATACAAACCGATATCATAACTTAATCGATCCCCTTCAATACTCACCATGCGAGTCTGGCAGTCCGCACCCCCGTTGATCACCGAACAACTCGAGTTGTAGTTGTCGAAGAAGCTGTAGAGCCCGAGCCCATAGCCAAGAATGTTGTTGGAGCGCAAGATGCGCAAGCCCCACCCGGACGCTGCGTTGACGGAGGTATTAGAGGAGGGAGTGAAGACGGGATCGTTGAGAGAGGGGACAGTGGGGAAAGGGATTAGGGCGTCGGGGTTCGGCTGGAAGTACGCTGTTTCGGTCTGGATATGACCCATGATGATGTTGTGAGTGTCGACGAATTGATATTGGTATTTTATGTGATGTTCGACGACAGTGCCGTAACTATGGCTTAAATTAGCATTGTACTTTGGAGGGGAGGCACATGATGTGGGGTGTATGGATGGGGATCAATAGCGACTTACAGCCATAAGACACCGCGCTCGCTTTCAATGTGTAAGCCGCGACCGGAGTAGATGCTGACTTGCGTGCCGTTATTGTTTTCAACGTCGTCGAGATCGTGGTCTGCAGTCCACAACCAATTATTCTCCAAATACAAACCAGTACCGGATTTTGTGACGTGCATGGCCATGAAGGCTGCAATGCAATGCTCAGCTAGATTTTCGGCTGTGATTTCGGTCTCAGATGTCTTGATACACTGTTCTTTTTGGAGATCGGAACCTGCGAATCCACCAATCCGAGCATGCACATCCCACAAGCCGGATGGTTCATCATACGAAGCGAGGTTGTACTCGATAAGGATCGCGCCCTTCTGTTGGCCCTGTGTTGATACGAAGAGATCGGAGAGCTCGACTCTGCCCTGCTCACCAGGCTGAGCAATCTGTACGACAGCTTTGGGGTTCTCCATGTCATTGAAGTAATCGCCAGCCGACAAAATGACAGCACTAAGAGCTTCACCGACGATCTTGGAACCTGGCGGTACATATATAGTTCCTGTGACCTTGTAGTATCCGGCATCGATAAACAAGATCTTTCCTTCATACTTTGCCTTCAGAATCGCAGCATTCAGGGCTTTGGTATCGTCTGTTGTACCATCACCCCTAGCGCCAGCATCGCGTGCGGACATGAATTGCGACAGCGGTACTTCACCATACTGTGGCCTGGAGCGCTCGTAGAACTTCCCGTTGGCATCCAAGAGCTCAGCCGGTCGCTTGCTCGGTTCGATAGGCGCTCGCTGCGCATTTGGGCCATTTGGAAGGTAGCGATGGCCGTCAGCCCATGCTGAGATCACAGACTGACCCGACGACCCAGCCAAGTAGGTGCTGTTGGGGCCGAGAATAGCAGTCTCGACATTATTGAGCACAATGTTCTCCATGTAAAGACTTGCTCCAGCAGCAGGCAGTGAGGAATCAGTTTTGGAAGTCACGATGCCAATCGGCGTATTGCTTATCTCGCTGTCCAAGAGAGTGATCGAGCCGACGTTGATCGCATCCGGGCCATTCGCGGTAATGTTCAGTCCTACATTGCAATTGTTGATCGAGATACTCTTGTAATTCCAACCCCAATTCCAAAGTTGGTTGATAGCAGTGTGAACATTGTTGAAAGTGAGGTTGCGTGTAGTATATTGTTGGTTCCCAACGTTAAGGCCGTAGTGCCCTCCGTTGAAGACTAAATCCGTCATGAAACCGCCTGAGCCTTCGGTTATCACGATAGCCTGATGGCCCGCCATGCCATTTGAGGGATTCATGTTGAAAACAATGTTCTGCAAGCTAGTTGCCTGAGCAGTTGGCCAGTGGATACCAGCGGTTGTAGTGTTGAGAGGCAATTTCGTCATGTCAAGAATGAGGTTCCGAATCTGCCTGAAGAACGTCCTGGTCGATGGGAATCCAGTACGTCCGGCACGTGGACCTGAGGATGGGTATTTGGATCCATCGATCAACCCGAAACTCGCACCTTCAAAGTGTGGCGCAGCAACAATGGTTGGGAGGCAGTTGGGGTTGCCAATGATCTGATCTTGTCAGTTTAGAAAGGCCTTGTCAATTACTGTGATGAGGCTAACCTGAGTGTAATAGTAATCGATAATGCTGCTCGAGATCAAATAAGTGCCACTTGGGAAGTACACAATCGCTGGTGAAGTCGTCGCACTCTCGCAGACTCCGGGACCACATCTATCCTGTTCAGCCATAGCACGATTGATCGCTGCCGTATCATCCGTGATGCCATCACCGACAGCTCCATAATCCTTCACGTTCCTGAAAACGGTGTAGTTGTCAGGGTTTGGGTTGAAGGACGCGATACCCTGGTGCTTGACGTTTTCAAGCCAATAGGGTGCACAAGAGTCAGAGGAGCCATTCTTAGAATCTGGCTTGACGTGAGGCCCAGTGAGATCGGTGACACCGTGGGGATGTGTAGGGCGTAATGTGTATGCTGGGTCTCCAGTATTCACGTTCAGTTCATGTGGGTCGACATTCCATGTATCCGAACGAACGTGAAGCGCGAGCGTGCAAGTCGAAAAGGCCAAAAGGAGATTGGCTGAAGGAATCATCATGTTGATAACAGTCTCAAAGAAGACTGCACGAAAGATCGGCGGTGTAGCAACACGTCCGACATGTAGTGAGATCTAAGGGTGAAATACCGTATGTTTATAGCAAGGTATTTCCAACAAGTATTCAGCCCGACTGAACAGACCGCCTAGTCAGACCTCACTCTAGGAAATTCATAGTCAGCCCGAACGGGCCGCCCGGTCAAACTTAACATCGACAAGCAACGCTTGACGCTTATTGCATCTTTGTAGTGTAGGTACTCGAACAGCTCGGGGCACTTAAGCATCAGATAAATAGACATACTCCAATATATGGCAGTGGCTTATAGTCAATTGAAGTTCGAAAAATAGTAGTCAAACTTCCTGGGCTTATGTGCGATGAGTGGAAATGTCATGGTGACCTCTGGTGTGTCTTGGATGGACACGAGGGCCAAGTGCTAAGAACTACTAACCCCATCGGAAGGTTCATCAGTCCATGCTATACTTTTTTAAAGATGCGCTTCAGCCTGCAGTTAAATGGAGTTCTCCTTGCTCTCCGATGATCTTCGAGGTAGTGCAATTATATAAAGATTGTGGAATCGTGGAGCAGGCCGCCCCCTTGAAGCGTTGTGGCGGACTGGATTGGTACCTGAGTATGTGGAGGTAAAATGGTAGTAGACAGAATCCGTAGTGGTAATGCAGTGAGTGGTACGCGTCTGAACCAGATACGGCCAGGATTGTGCATTAATGATAATGTTCCTTGCGTGATTTACGGGGGTCTCAAGGAAGCCAATATCTTTTACTTTGGCCGGCGGCTTGGGGGTTACAGATCACGATGGCACGTGACCCGATCTACATCAGCGGGCCTTGGCAAATCACCGAGATTGGCGACAAAAAGTTCCGTGATGACACAAACGTCATCTTGAAGACTCGGAAAAACCCATCGCAACAACCAGTCCGCTGATTACTCTTCTGCACCCCTGAAATAGCCCACCGCAGACATGTTTGGAGGTGGGTTCGACACATTGCTCCCAATCAAAAGCGAGGTTGAGAACCTGTTGAGGCTAATGCGCAATCGCAGCACCACCAGAACCGTCGAAGAGGGAGCTTGAGCTGGCTGAGGCGCAGACGCTGGCGGATATCAAGTGGACGGCCGCGTCAGCTATTGTACTTTACTTTTGTAAGTATACTAGGCAAGAAACAGATGAAAGGACGCGAGAAGGCAAAGCTAACCCATCTTACAGCACCTCATCTCGTCGAATACGTCTCGAAGCTGTTCTAGATGGATGATACAATAGAGCAAACTTGCCCTTTCCTCGACGATACATTCAGCAATGGCATTCAGGCGGTCATCAAGCTAGCAAATGCATGCGAAGGAGGACGAAAGTCGACATTGTGACAAATGTACATGCTCGGTCCGACGGTCGTTCTTACTGAGAGTAATAGTCTCCGCTCCGTAGACACTGAATGATTAATGGAGAAAATTGTTGCAAATCATGCCAAAAAAAGGGATAGAGGGCAAGCTAGCTAATAAAATATCCTGGTATGCATCCGTTGCTTATCGTCCTGCCATGCCCAGTATTCGCCTTCAAATGCCTCAAAAACTCGTCTACATGTCACGCGCTACTCCGTGATACCGAAGGAACTGCCTATCGCTTCGCTGGCCGGCTTTGCTTCGCAGTCTCCCATTCATCGTACTCCTCCTTTGTGTCATCGACCCATTTCTTGAGATGATCGAGTTGCCTGTCGTAGTCTTTCAGGAGCTGGGAACATGTTAGCGAGTAGGTTTTGTGTGACGAATGGCCCAACCTTACCTTCTCTAGCGCCTTCTGGTCTTCATCTGTGAGAATTTCACCATTCTGTTGCCCTTCAATGGTCTTGCCCAGCTTCTCAGTCTCAGCTTGAAGTATCCGCGCTCGCTCGCGCACCCCAGACATACGAGCCCAAATCTCCTCTTGCCGCCCACCAAGCACGGGGTCAAACGTCTTCTTCTCCAACTCCAACAGTTTCTTTTTGAGATCCTCCTCTTGCTGATCCATGACGTAACCTCGGTTCCGCAATATCTGCACCTTGGTTGCGAGAGCCAGAGTCCGCTGTGTGAAGATGATGTGCTTTCGTTTGGCCTCGGTGATGCGCGAGGCAACGTTCAGCTCGTGTGTATCTTTGAGCAACGAGAGACTGTTATTGATCTCGTGTAGGCGCGTTCGGAGTGCTGCGACGGCGGCCGACTGCTGTCGGATACGGTCCGCTACTTGCTCGAAACCACGAGCCAACACAGGAATGGCCCCAGGACTGGGCTTCTTGGACAGAGCTTCCTCCCATTTCCTCTCGTCTTCGCCTTGGGATGGACCATAGAAGGGCGCCTCTTCAGGTTTGACAGAGTTGTAAAAGTAATACTGGAAAACGCATTCGGGGTTGGCTGGGTCCCACTTGTTGTTTAGAACCCGTATTTGCTCTACTACCGACTTCTCCCCTGTCAATATGTTAGCGGGAAGTGATAGTCAGACAAGAGTTGCTTACTGTGTCCACTGACAGATGAGCCAGCATATGGCTGTGCAGAGGACTGTCGTAGCTGCGGTAGTCCCTCGCGTTGTTGCTGTATGCTCTGGGCCTGGACGTTGTTCAATGCTGGCGCAGGCTGCAGCGACGCGCCGAACAAGCTGTTGCTCATGTTTGACTGCTGTTGCTGTTGTGGTTGCTGCTGCTGCTGTTGTTGTTGTTGCGTCGATCCAGAAAGACTAGACTGTGTCGCGCTGGCCTGTTGTTGTTGTGGCTGTTGTTGCGATTGTCCAAAGAGTCCTCCAGGAGGAGCTGTCGTACTTCCAAAAAGAGTGCCTGTCTTTTTTTCTGCGCCGCCACCACCGAGGTTACCGAAGCTGAAAGACATGGTGAAGTCGTATCTTGGTGAGCAGGCGCTGAGTCTTGGATGTGTGGGTGCGAAGGCGCAAGTCAATGATTGGAGTATATTGTACAATAACAACTGAGGGATAGGTAGTATTGTTGTCGACACGAAAGTAAGACGCGACAGAGGTTCCAGCGAGAGTCAGCGACTGCAGAGGACGTTGTGCCAAATCTTAATCAGCTGTCATTTGAGCGAATGCGGTGGTCCAAAAGCGTGCGCAAACGATGTGTGGGCAATGCTGATGAAGACCGTCGTGGATGTTTGTATGTTTTGCCGTAGACAGCTTTGTTCAGGCACGTCGCTGCAACCAATAGGGAACCTTGGAACCCTGGTAGGGCTGCTGATATGCCAAGACCGGCGACGATGCGACTTCCACCACGGCCACCTCCACCTTGAACTACTACACTTTGGCCCGCCATTGGCACAGACAGCACATCATGTCGTCGCGTCAGCCCAGGTGCGAAGCCTCTATGATATCGCAACAAGCCCAATACACCAGCTAATCCCGCGCAGGTTCAATCAGCAGGCCCTCATCGACACCACCCCTCTGCCCGACGACATCCCCAAGGTCAAGGAGCTTGGAGCCAGTTCTGCGCCCCTCCTCAGTGCCTCCTTCTTCATTGGCGCACGATGCAAGGCCTACAATGACGACTACATGATGTGCAAGACCGAGGCGAACGGTCGGGGAGAGCTGGATTGCATGAAGGAAGGCCGCAAGGTCACGAGGTGTGCAGCGAGCGTGTACGGATGACCGCAATCGAATGATAAACAGGGAGAGCGGAGACTGATTTCAATTACAGCATCAAGGATATCAACGAGAACTGCCTCCAGGAGTTTCGCACCCACTGGCAATGCTTGGAGAACCACAACCAGCAACTCTTTAACTGCCGGTCGGAAGAGCGAAAGATGAACAAGTGTGTATTTGAGAAGCTGGTATGCTGTGCAGACAAACCCCCCACTACATGTGCTCATGATGTGCCAGAAACTAGAGAAGACCATACCAGATACGCCAAAAGGCGAGACACCCGTACATTTGCGAACACGCAACATTTTTGCGAGTCATTAAGCTCTGTAGATATTGCAACAGGATGGAAAAGACCCCACAATTCCAAATCAAACATGCCACGAGTCTTCAAGCATGCTGTTTGCAATCGCGTGACGAGATCAATGGTTTGCGATGACAGTCATATCAAGCAGGTGATGGACAGCGAGTGAGTCAGCGGCACTCTCCAACGCGCTTCGTGTACCACTTCCATGTATCGCACCCGCTGACGCCTTTGCATGCTGAGTATTTAGTCAAGTATTGCGGTTTATCCTGATCAGCATGTGCTGACTACCTTGAAGCGCACATGTCACTCTTTTCATGCTCGCAGTCGGCAATGTTAATATAATCTTCCTTCTCACGCTCTTCAATTACCACACCTTCAGCCTACCGCTAAATTCTGAGCGTGGACCACAGCAGTGATTTGAAATTTACTGAAGAGGGGTGTGACATCAGTCGTAGAAGTACCCAGGGCTATTCTCACCAGATCAAGAATCACACAATCACAACTATGTTATCAGATCCCTTCAGCGATGCTGCTGCAATCGATATGCTGGAATTTGAAAATGTTGAAGACGGTATCAATCCCTGTCCCAAGCATAGCGATGGCAACACAGCCTATCGACCGGAAAAAGTCGCAGTGCCTATTCTAGATGCCATCTCGTCTGACACACATTGGAATTCCTTCTTCAGCAGATATTCCCCAGACAACCCCTCGACAGCGCCCAACACGTCTCCTTGTACAGAAACCACCAGTCCTATCCAATGGACTCCCACAGACCTAGGTACAACCCTCCCCACCATACACAAGTAGCCCCAACCTAACAGATAAACCCCAGTGTACCTCCTCGGCATCCTCTACCCATCTGACCTCCTAACCAACAGCCTCCTCATCCACCCACCCCTCTCCACATCCCCATCCCACATCCAACTCTTCCACCTCCCCCCCTCAACCCCCGCACCACCACCACCCTCCTACTCTAAACACCTCCCCATCGGCACCGGCCGCCCACCACCCCTTCCCCTGTTTATGTAACCCACCCGTCTTATCTGTTCTGG